AAGAGCCATCCTTAAAGCCAAGCACAGTGAACTAGTGTTTTGCTTCTGCGTTTATAGTATTGCACAAAGCTAGTAAATGGTGAGGTAGTTTGCCGTTTTAATTTTCATTTACCCAAAACAGCTAAAAACATGTCAGTTTCATTAGCCCTATGGACATTATTCATGCAAAATGATCCGCAGCCTTCCATTTTTCATAATCTACACATTATTGTTTCACACTTGACAACACATACAGTACAGTGATAAATTCAATAGGCCAGTAGGGATTGTGTCAAAGAAGTTGAAGTCACTGCAGGGGATGCACTGTCCACCCTTACTGTTTCCCATAAATGAAGGGAAATGTGACTGGTGATGTGAAGACTTCTTTTCACAGGGGTTTTTATTTTTGGTCTTTTTGAGACAGGGTTTCTCTGTAGCCCCAGCTGACCAGGAACTCACTACATAGACCAGGGTGGCCTTGAACTCACAGAGATCTGCCTGCCTCTGCCTCCCCAGTGCTGGGATTAAAGGTATGCACCACCATGCCCAGCTAATTATTAATTTTACATGTATGAGTGTTTTACCTACATGTATATAAGTGCATCAAGTGTGTGAATGGCCACAGAGGCCAGATAGAAGAGGGTGTTGGATCCCTGGAACTGAAGTTACAGATGGTTGTTAGCCACTGTGTGGGTGCTGAGAATCAAATCCAGGCCCTCTGCAGGAACGGCCAGTGCTCTTAATAGCTGAGCCATCTCTCCAGTCCCCAGACCTTTCTTTTCTAATTAAAAGAAAATTTACATCTACATTACTTTCTCAGTTAAACACTTGCCCTAAGTAAAGGGGGTCTCTGGAGGCTCCATATCAAGAGAGACTCCATCCAGAGAGAAGACAGACAGTGACATGCTCGGGTGGCTGTTCTGACAGCTTGGACCACTTAGGCATGGCTCTGGTAGTCCAGAAGCTGCAGAGTTTCCTTGGTGAGTTTGAAGTTGTAGGCTTACAGGTTTGCCAGGGGAAATCAAGAGCAGTCAAGTGTTACCTGTTAGGACTTAAGGACTTTGGCTGAGGCCCCGAGTAGGGGGCCCTGGGGTTCTCTCATCCCTCCTGGCTACAGCTCCCCCTTCCCTGAACTGAGGAAAGGGCTCTGGTGATTGGTCTAAATAAATATCAGTCTGGTGGGATAGCCCAGTCCTTTCTGTCCATCTGGATGTCACTTACCACTGGTAGAGAATGATGGTCTTTCCTGCCGTTGTCCAGTCCCACAATGATGACCTGTGCTCTGGAGATATCCAGGGGAAGGGCAAAGATCAAAGACAGCTCCAATGATCACCCGCTTGGGTGTTCCCAGCAGACTTGTCCTGGCTTCTTCCTTGCCCTCCTTCCCTGCGTGGGTGCTCTCTCCTCCCCCACTTCCCTTCTCTCTCCTGGCAGTCTCTCAATAGAAGTAAAACTTGGTGAGGATCCCCCTCCCCATCCCTAAAGGAGCTGGGAAGCGCGGTCACAGCTGGGGACCTCTGCTCCCTGTAACCGCTTCCCCTAAAGGAGAGTGCGCCCTAAGTCTCTCTCCACATTTCTAGAAAAGGGATTTTGTCTAAATCCGAACCTTGGGGAACTGATTTTGGCCCCCACCTCTGATGACCACGGTGCAGCCGGGAGGCAAGCGGTTCCCCATCCACACGCGGAGCTCACCAAAGTGCAAGTGCTACAGAGAAGCACTCCAAGAGAGGGAAGAAGAGTCTGTGGACGCTTTACCCCGACGACCCAAAATCCAGAGAGCCCCAGGAGACAGTGGAATCAAGGAGGTCACTGGGCTGCCCCGTGCACCCCTTACCCTGGTTCCCAAAGATTCGCATCAGTTTGGAGATCAGCTGTCCCATGGCAGGAGCCGAGTTGCTGCAGGGTTCAGCAGCCTCCAGGACGGGAGTCTGGTGGGGTGTTTCCTAGCCCCGCCACGAGGAGGGCCATACCGGCTGCGTCTTGGAGATGGGGAAGCCCCACGCATCACCTGCGGGACCCGGGAATCCCCCGGTACACTGGCCCCTCGTGAGTGCTATGGAACTTCACCGTGACGACCAGGTAGCTAACCAGGGCCCTGAAAGTGCAAGGAAAACAGGGTCCCAGACTCCACACCTTCCCCTTCACCCTGAAAAATATGAAGAGTTCTCTGGCCAGGCTCCTCCAGCACTGCAAATCAAGAGAGTCAGAGTAGGCACCAAATCCGGCACCGGCTCTTCTTCCTCCTCCAGGAGCCACAGCTGAGGCAAAACCCTGCCCAGGCTGTCCAGCTTTTTGACATTACAACATAATGTTTTCATTTACAAAGTTCACACTGGAGAACCCTGCAACCAAGTTACCAAAAACAAAACAAAACAAAATAAAAACATATTTTTGTTTTCTTTTATGCATTAAAAAAAATACAAGCACTGCTGGGCGTGGTGGCGCACGCCTTTAATCCCAGCACTTGGGAGGCAGAGGCAGGAAGATTTCTGTGAGATCAAGGCCAGCCTGCTACATAGTGAGTTCCAGGACAGCCGGGCCTACAGGGAGACCCTGTCTCAAAAAAACTGAAAAAAAAAAAAAAAAAAAACAGCTTTATTTGATACTTTTCTTTTATGTATATGAGTGTCTTGCCTACATGTTTTTAAGTGCACCTGTGTCATGGGGGTGGTCAGAAAAGGGCATCAGATGCCCTGAAGTGGAGTTACAGTTGTTACCCTGTGGTGCTGGGATTCAAACCTGGGTCCTCTGCAAAAGCAGCCAGTGCTCCTAACCACTAAACCATCCCTCCAGCTCCCTGCATTTCACTTTTTATTACACCTATTTATTTATTTTTGTCTTTTTTGAGCCAGGGTCTCCCTGTAGCCCCAGCTGGCCTGGAATTCCCTATGTAGACCAGGCTGGCCTGGAATTCACAGAAGTCTGCCTGTCTCTGCCTCCTGAGTACTGGGATTAAAGGCAAGCGCCACCACGATGCCCAGTCTACACTTATTTATTTTGTGTGTATGTAGATAGGTGCATGGAGTTCATTGAAGGTCAGGGAAAACTTGCCAAACTTGGATCTCTCCTTTCACCATGTGGGTTCCAGGAATTGAACTCAGATTGTCAGACTCGGTGGCAAGCACCTTTACTCACTGAGCCATCTTAACCTGTACAATCTCATAAGATTCATTTTTATTTTTATTTATTTAT